AGCATCTAGATTGTGTAGGTGAATGTGAATTTCAAAACTGGTGACTAAGATATATTCCCCTTTATGCAATCGTAGAGGACAACTTGAAATGAGGCAGTCTGCGTCGAAGTTTGGAACTGGAGTCTAAATCCAAATTCGGCTTTGGACATTCATTTCAACCTATAATTGTTTGCCTCATTTTTCTCCTTTTCAAAAATTTAAGCGCGAAGTATTACAAGAATATTTCAATATAACATACTTTATAAGATTGTGTATGCATTTCCATTTGAAACGTGATTAATGGCGAGACCAACTTACCTGTCCTGTATCACTTGTGGACATTCTTTACAAGGTTATGGGGAAGTGTTAGAATCGCCATAGAGACCGCATTGATATTTTTTTTTTTTTTTTTTTTTTTGTATTTTTTGTAAGATACGAAGCTGAATGTCTTTAATGTCGTTAGTTTGTCTGTTAGTTCAGTTGTTGTGTATACTATTTTCATTTGAGAAAGTGACACTACTTACTTGGTTTGACCAAGGTTTACATAGCGGGTGTCGTCGATGAAGAAGACGCTCTCTTCCGGAACACCTGGTCTTATTCTCCTTGTACGTTATCAGGGTTTCCTTGTAAATCTTTCTTTTGTTCATACTTGACCCTAGTTTTATTCACTCTGAGTTTGGATTACGATTATGTTCACTTCTTGGTATTTTCGTGGTGTTTTTTTTCTAATACACGACATGTTGATTAAGATTCTCTTTTATTGTGAAAAATTGGTTGCCAATGTGTTTGTTGTTTGCAAGATTTATTTATTTTTAAATTGTAGTGTTGCTGTATTTCATAGCAGAGTTTAAAATACACAATAAATACTATCCAAAATATAATAAATATATAATATTGATTCAAATATTTCGGTGGTTACACAGAATGGTTTCTCTCTAAAGACTGCTGTTTCAGGAATGCCAGGATAAGAGGTGAAGTTTGAGTAAAACAACGTATTTGAAAAGCGAGCTGAAACGTTCATCAACAGCTATTTTAGTGACTTTTTTGTACATTATTTATTACATGCAACATGTTTCCATGTAGAACTTTATCAGTTTTATGATTCGTAAGTATATGAAATGTCGATCAACATTAACACGCATACTTTTTTTCAGGACTGCTAATCGATCAGACGGGATCATACACGATACCATTTTACTGCGTTTCCGCTAGTCACGGCTTGGCAACTGTTCTGTTCATATTAGCTGCTATATTAAAGAGGGAATCTAAGAGCAAACCTCCAGGAGACGGAGCATCGCCTACACAGAACTAATCAATTCAAGAGAAGGTTATGAGCATAACCTCTCAGAAAGCGTTCACACTCGTTCTCAATGTTATCATTGCAATATATTCTTCTTACTTATACGCTTTGTACGTCGCTTTTGATAAACCCACACTACAGATTTACTGAAACCATTAAGGTGATTACGATTCTCTGGAAGCTCTTAAGTAAATTAACATAAAGGGCAAAATTAAACTATAAATTGACAAAAAGTATAGATGAAACATGTATAAAATATAAATATAACTATTACGCTATCAGTATTGTCAATATCTTAATAATAGACTCCGTTGTATTTATCAGCCACCCAGACTGCACTCATATTGATAATTATACATTATAAAGACCGTTCCAAAGTTAAGCACAAAGTTTGGAAACTGCAATATTCTTCCTGGTGCCTCCCTTGATGTTTAATCTTGACATTAAGTATCTTTCATTTGAGAAAACATAAGGTTTGTCCTGAGGCTTTGGTTCAGTCCGTGACCTGATAAGCCATATTTCTTACTTAATAGTGATCACTTAATAGGATGCTTAAGAGAGAACGTGGTCGTTTCCGGTGTCACTAATAGACCGAAAGGAACGTTATTTCAAAGAGTCTACATCACAATTCAGTAAAAAGTGATATTAAATTTATTTGATTAAATGTCTTGTCCTTTAATGAGAATAGCTGTTGATGGGACATTAAGCAATATAAAACTTGACCAAACCAATATCTAAAAGGCATAAACCAAATCAAAATAATCTACTCTCATGCGTCTGTATTCAATCCCTTCATCTTCTGTTAATTATTGACATCGCATCGGAATTATTAATAAAATGGAGAAAATCATCGTAAATAAATTACTGTGTTTCGTTGTTGGTGGAGTACTTTTACCTAGTGAAGAAGTGTCCACACTTTTTTTAGAGATTTTCTCGTCCCGTCATAGCAATTATCTCATCATTTCAGCGAGAGGCCAGCCACAAGCTTCTTTATTGAAAAACAGCTAGAAAATACCAACATGTAACATAAAGTAAGGACGAGATGTAAAATATCTCTTCAACTTACCTTGAAGAATGAAAGGATTAAGTGGTTGTTTTCGACATAAAACATAAACTATTATTAGTACTGGAGAGTTCCAATTCAGGTCAATCACTCATTGAAAATGACTATTCCTATGCCACTGTTTTATTTAAGAAAAGAATATCATCCTTGCCGCCATACATGTGATCGATCTTTACGTTACTTCCAGACATACTATAATTGAACACTTCGCCTTCGAAGAGACCCGTAGACTTTTTTGGTTTGCCATTTATATGTTAATTTGATACAGTTTCTGTGTCGTTCATATTTGGGTATTTCCATGTAGTTTACCAAACATCATTTGCTTTTAGTGCGTTTCTTTTCGTGAACGTCTTTTTCTCTCATTGTTAACCCTGATTTACTCTAGCTGTGGATTGGCCGTAAAACAGAACATACAACATTAATTTCACATACCATGAACACAGACATTGGCTAAAGTAGAATATGTGAGCAAATGGGGACATTGTACAAGGCTTACATGCTGCCAATATTTCGTCAAGACCGCCATTTTGTTTAGGACTCTTCATCGTTAGAGCATATGTGCGTTTGTAAGAGTATGTATTGCAAAGCTTTTAAACGACTCGGAAGTTACTCCTGAGCTTTTTGCTGAGGTAGTAAGTCACTAATGGTATTATTTTAGGAAAGCTGTTTATTTAGTGTGGAGCAAACATTTTAAACAAAGCGCTCGTTTATGCGCCTGTGATATCGAAGTTCATCTGTAACACTTTTTTTTATTTTGTTTCGTATTTACTAACTTTTTTCCTCGAGTCTAATATGTTTAACTACGAAACTAATGATTACCACATCATTAATATTTTTTCCTGATTTTTGTTTCTTTTTTCGTTTTTTTTTTTTTTTTAACCACAATCGCTGCACCACGTGTTAGCGGACCCTTTGGATACTTAAAATATAATTTCTTTGATACATCTGCATCTTAAATACACTAAAATGAAAACACTTATTAACAGTTAGCTTGAGATAATGATAATAATAAACAATAAACAAACGACAGAAAATATTGACATGTCAACAGTATCATACTTAAAGCTCAAAGTCGAGTAAACGAATGCGTAATATACACAAAAGTCGAGAAAACGAAAGGCGAAATATACACGAAAGTCTATGAAATAAAGGCAACATGTATACTAAAGTCAATAACAAAAGTCGATAAAACGTAGGCGAAGTTTACTCAAAAGCAAAATGAGGCCCCTGAAGACCTGAGAACCGAATAAAATCAGTTAAAATACAAAATGTTATTTCATATCTGGAGGAATAGTGTTCAGGTTATTAAGGCAGGGCGTCATTAATATACCGGAGAGCGAAATTTTAAGAAGAAACTGTAAACATATTCAAGCCATATCTAGACACACGTACATGTATAAGTGATTCACAAAACATGTTTTGTTAAGGGTAGGTACACTCGAAAGTGTACTACATCAGGTTTGAACATTATTGCAAAAAAAAATCATTATTTAAAGATTTATCGTTATTCTAGATTTTGAAAAAAAAAATACAAATTAAAACAAAAACAAAGCAGAGGAATACATATTACTAGACATAATTTTGAAGAAAAACTTGTTACTGTTAATATTTCGAAGTCTGCTCAAGTTAGACTCGGTGTAACTACCCTCCATACATTTGACCAGATTAGCATTGGTCTGGGTGTGGTGATATGTATCCTTTACAGATTGTGTAAGGGGAGAGAACCCTAACACATATTTGATGGTGAACTTTTGAATAACGGTAATCGAAATCTCTCCAATGGTGGGCATTAAATCTCTAGAACTTTTTTTCTGTTTTTCTTTGCGTGAGTGTGTGTGTACATATATATAGGGAGGGGGACTGAGTATTCTTGTGTTGTATGTGCATTTTCATATAATGGTTTTGTTACTTAATACAATGCAAACTCCTAGGTAATAATCCTAAAAGTAAAAACCTGGTCAGCTGGTCAGTAGTGCACAGAGAAAATAACTGTCGACAAAGTAAAGTACAACCTACTTTGTATTTTCGAATTAAGTTTAAAATGTCTTGAAATGTACATGTTACAAAAAGAAGTAGCAATTGTTTATGTATACTTTTGTGTAATTGTCACAGTTAGGTCGCGAAGGGGCTTACACTGAAAAACTTGTGCCCAATCCCGGGTGTGATTTATTATCAAAAATGCAAATAACATTATATTAAATCAATACATGGTTCTTCTAGTGTAGCTAATATACATGTACATAGTACTTAGTTGTTATGGTCGTGCGCATAATAGCGAAAATAATTCACTGTAATGTCTTCTTCAAGAAACCTTTCTAAGTCGTGTATTAAGTAACATGGAACATGAGTTCTGGTGAGTTAGTTTTCAAAATAATCATGTGTAAGATTATCGGTTGCGAAAGCTGTATCTCATCTAATACTTAATTCAGTATAAAAGTCATTCAGAAATAGAGAACTTCTGTGTAAGTACTCGTGGAAAGTGACGTATAGGAGATAAACTTGTTGATTATTATTGGTGAATTGTAAGTGTAAGGAATGACAACTCTGACAGCAAGAATTGTGAAAAATGCTTATGATCGCGAGTTACTTCCCTCTACGTCACTCTTTAAACAAACTCGCCATCAAATTGAATTTGGGTGAGTTGGTGATGGACTACAGCGAGACGTGGATATTTTAAGTAATATTTGTATTTGGGGGTGGATACATTCAAACTTTATTCATTCATCTGAATAATGAAGACTGTGTGAAGCATAGTACAGAGTTACCATGGATATAGATATTTAATGATATATTAGAAATCGGACGAGTTTGTTTTATCTGACGCAATAATGGCCGAGTTGTCTTAAACTGCACATGGCCATAATGTTTACCGGTTAGAACACACGTATATACAAGTTAAAGGGTAGCGATGACCGACCAAGAAAATTCCAGTAAACAGGGAGAGGAACAAGACAGGACAGATCCCGAATACGGTTACAAATGGTTTCCTGAAAGAGGAAAGGAACGGTCACTGTACGAAAAGGCTCTGTACGGCGGACAGACTAGAAAATGTGAAATAAATATCGCAAAATGCTTGAAACAAGGTGAGAAATTTGAATGTCGTTCAGGTCATATACATGAAGGCTTACATTTATCTATACGTTAAAATAAGATGTTTATGCCAGCATTCGAAATTGTTACTGCAACTGTGCCATCGTACCGTATATCTGGTACTTGAGTTCTAGCTTGTAGCTTCTTTGTAATGAAAAGGGGCCTAGTGAATATATACATTGTACATGTAATGTAGATATGCATTAACTAGTTGATCAGAAGGGCTTATCAGAATGAGTTTGAGCTAATTAGGCGAATCTAAGGTAGAATATGTCAGTAGCTCACTTAGACAAGCACCTGTGTTTGATTACTTCCATTATATGTAACAAGGGTGGAACAATGTGCATTTCTCCCACATTATTTTTAGTCTCTGCCCCCAAAGACATCCTATCTAACAACCCAGGTCTGGGTATCCCCTTGTTAAGCATTTATCTACTGCTTGAAACAAGATTTGGTCATGGCATTAAATGTAACAGGAGCGGGAAAATGTGCAGCCAGACCCAGGTTCGAAGTGGGGCTGGGGACCTTCCAAACTCTATATGGATGCTCTACCAACTGAGCTACAGGTACCATCTTCGAGTCCCATCTGTCAATTCATGTACCTGATGCATTGATAAAAAGATGAGGGATGTGGATGTGTAATACATTCAATGTCCCTGCTGTTACGAGTTCCTTCTTCAAAACAAATATTTTAAAATGGTGAAATATTGCTTTTCGTTACACCCGTGTCGGTAAAAAGTAATTTGTAATCATACTTAGGTAACTATATATATGGCCAGTCAGACTTTTATCTTATATGAGTCATGATGCAACTGCTTACAGATTGGTTAGTCACATGTCATCTGTGATGGTCAGTGCTCGCAGACAGTCACATGTCATCTGTAATGGTCAATGCTCACGGACAGTCAGTGACATGTCATCTGTGATGGTCAGAGCTCACTGACAGTCAGTGACATTTCATCTGTGATGGTCAGTGACATGTCATCTGTGATGGTCAGTGTTCACTGAAAGGTCAGTCACATGTCATCTGTGATGGTCAGTGCTCACAGACAGTCAGTCATGATGGTCATCTGTGATGGTCAGTGCTCACAGACAGTCAGTCACATGTCATCTGTGATGGTCAGTGCTCACTGACAGTCATTCACATGTCATCTGTGATGGTCAGTGCTTGCTGACAGTCAGTCACATGTCATCTGTGATGGTTAGTGACATGTCATCTGTGATGGTCAGTGTTCACTGAAAGGTCAGTCACATGTCATCTGTGATGGTCAGTGCTCACTGACAGTCAGTGACATGTCATCTGTGATGGTCAGTGCTCACGGACAGTCAGTGACATGTCATCTGTGATGGTCAGAGCTCACTGACAGTCAGTGACTTGTCATCTGTGATGGTCAGTGACATGTCATCTGTGATGGTCAGTGTTCACTGAAAGGTCAGTCACATGTCATCTGTGATGGTCAGTGCTCACTGACAGTCAGTGACATGTCATCTGTGATGGTCAGTGCTTGCTGACAGTCAGTCACATGTCATCTGTGATGGTCAGTGCTCACAGACAGTCAGTCACATGTCATCTGTAATGGTCAGTGCTCACAGACAGTCACATGTCATCTGTGATGGTCAGTGCTCACAGACAGTCAGTCACATGTCGTCTGTGATGGTCAATGCTCACAGACAGTCACATGTCATTTGTGATGGTCAGTGCTCAATGACAGTCAGTCACATGTCATCTGTGATGGTCAGTGCTCACGGACAGTCAGTCACATGTCATCTGTGATGGTCAGTGTTCACTGAAAGGTCAGTTGTCATCTGTGATGGTCAGTGCTCGCACCCAGTCAATCACATGTCATCTGTGATGGTCAGTGCTCACTGACAGTCAGTCACATGTCATCTGTGATGGTCAGTGCTCACTGACAGTCAGTGACATGTCATCTGTGATGGTCAGTGCGTGCTGACAGTCAGTGACATGTCATCTGTGATGGTCAGAGCTCACTGACAGTCAGTCACATGTCATCTGTGATGGTCAGTGCTCACTGACAGTCAGTCACATGTCATCTGTGATGGTCAGTGCTCACTGACAGTCAGTCACATGTCATCTGTGATGGTCAGTGCTCACATGTCGTCTGTGACAGTCAGTCACATGTCATCTGTGATGGCTCACAGACAGTCACATGTCATCTGTGATGGTCAGTGCTCACAGACAGTCAGTCACATGTCGTCTGTGATGGTCAATGCTCACAGACAGTCACATGTCATCTGTGATGGTCAGTGCTCACTGACAGTCAGTCACATGTCATCTGTGATGGTCAGTGCTCACTGACAGTCAGTCACATGTCATCTGTGATGGTCAGTGCTTGCTGACAGTCAGTCACATGTCATCTGTGATGGTCAGTGCGTGCTGACAGTCAGTGACATGTCATCTGTGATGGTCAGTGCTCACGGACAGTCAGTGACATGTCATCTGTGATGGTCAGAGCTCACTGACAGTCAGTCACATGTCATCTGTGATGGTCAGTGCTCACTGACAGTCAGTCACATGTCATCTGTGATGGTCAGTGCTTGCTGACAGTCAGTCACATGTCATCTGTGATGGTCAGTGCGTGCTGACAGTCAGTCACATGTCATCTGTGATGGTCAGTGCGTGCTGACAGTCAGTCACATGTTATCTGTGATGGTCAGTGCTCACTGACAGTCAGTCACATGATGATCACATGTTAGTCACATGCTATCTGTACTAATACTGAGGTCACTGTTTGGTCCATCAGCGATCATATGTGATCACTGTTTGATCAGTTAGAGGACTTATGTGATATATGATAACTTGTGATCTTTTGTCACTCAGTCTACACTCTAGTAGACAAGGATGTCTTGAAATCCGACACATTTTTTATACAGCTTCTTTTCAAAACCAACATTAGAAAGCAGCAATACCATGTTCACTTATCAAAGATATGTTGATGGTATAATAACAGAACAGGATCAAGTATTATGTACAATTTTAGAGCTTTTTAGGGCTAATTTTTGGCTAATAATGGGCTTCATTCCCATTTGAATTTTTAGCCCACCATCATCAGATGGTGGGCTATTCAAATCACCCTGCGTCCGTGGTCCGTTGTCTGTCTGTCCGTCCATAAACAATTCTTGTTACCGCTATTTCTGGAAAAGTACTGGATGGATCTTTCTCAAATTTCATATGCAGGTTCCCCTTGGTCCCTAGTTGTGCATTGTACCTTTTTTAGACTGATTCGAATTCAAGGTGGCCAACAGGCGGCCATCTTTTATTTTGAAAGTAAAAGTTTGTTACCACTATTTCTGAGAAAGTACTGGATGGATCTTTGTCAAATTTCATATGGAGCTTCCCCTTGGTCCCTGGTTGTGCAGTGTACCTTTTTTGGACTGATTCAAATTCAAGATGGCCCACAGACGGCCATCTTGGATTTTGAAAGTAAAAGTTTGTTATCGCCGTTCTGGGAAAACCCTTGATGGATCTTTCTCATATTTCATATGCAGGTTCCCCTTGGTCCCTAATTGTGCATTTTACCATTTTTGGACTGATCCGAAATCAAGATGGCTGACAGGCAGCCATCTTGGATTTTGAGAGTAAAATCTTGTTACTGCTATTTCTAAGGAAGTACTGGATGGCTGACAGGCAGCCATCTTGGATTTTGAGAATAAAATATTGTTACTGCTGTTTCTAAGGAAGTACTGGATGGATCCTTCTGATATTTCATAGATATTGGTTTCCCTTGGTCCCTAGTTGTGCATTGTACCTTTTTTGGACTGATTTGAAATCAAGGTGGCCCAAAGGTAGCCATCATGGATGTCGACAGTAATACAGCACAAGTATATTGTCCATTATCCACCTGTAACTGACTGCTATCTAATAATACTTTGGGATCTTTTTCAAATGATATTTGCTTATAAGTGCTTAATAAGAATATCTTGTGCCATCATTGAGTACATTCAATGAAGACCAGTTCATGAACATTTACAACACCTATAACAAACAAAAAAAAAATCAACAAATTTTCAAGAACTGAAAACAGATTCTCAAATGGTGGGCGCCAAGATCCCACTGGGATCTCTAGTTTTCATATTTAAGTCACATTCTCAAAATTTGCAATTTTCTTCCTGAAATGAGGAAGAAATTCTCAATCCCCAACAGAAGTGAAAAACCTTTAATTTGACTGTAAGCTCCTGATGTCCAGCTTTTGTAGGTACCTGGTAATCCTGTATAAACATGACATACATATGGAAGGGAGGCAACTTTTAACTGTTAATTCTTTCACGATTTAAACAATTCCATTGTCATACTACTGTTTTCTTAACTTTCAGATAGGACAATATCCATTATTTTGAAAGCATTGGAAAGCTATGGCTGGTAAGTTGTATTATTAGTAAGGCACTAAGAACTGCGGGGGGAGGGGGGTTAGTTGAGGGTGTTGGGGGTCCCTCCATCCTTCTGATATCTTTTCCCAGCTCTCAGTCTCTTTCTAACACTGTGACTCGAACTTTATATGTACTTTAATTGTAGATTCACCATGGTGAAGCAGTAAGTAAGTCATTCTGACCTATGACCTACATACCATGGTATACAAATTTACATAAAAAAAAACAATTATTTTCCTAAACTGCATGTGACTTTTGCATCATACATGCAGTGTGGATTTACCCAGGTGAGGCAGTGTGTCAAATATCAAAATTAAATTTTCGAGGTCACATATAACTATATTTTGATCTTTGACTTAACCAGGAAAAAGCTTTATTTATAAGACAGAGGATTCAATTTTGTGTAAATGGTGGGTTTAGGGGGTGGGGTTTTAAATACCTAATAGAAAAATGATATATTATTCAGAATCCTTCTGTGGGAAGGACCAAATTTTATCCAAATTTGGTCTGAAACATCGTTGTGTGAAGATGTATCAATTTTTATTTATATAATAGTAGATCTGAAAACTCCAACCCTAGTGGCAAAAGGGCAGGGCAATTAGAGAAAATAGATGAAAGGTTTCAAATCCATTCTTTTTGGTTGGAACGAAGGTGGCAAACTTCGGTCTGCATATCTTTAGACGCTCACTCACTGGAACCTGGAGACAGGGTCCAAAAGGCAAAACAGAGGCAAAGATGTATTGCCCTTCTTCTGATGGAAAACCTTCTTTTGTCCAAATTTGTTCTGGAGCATCAATGAAATGAAGGTTACTCAGTTAGGTATAAACCCTACACATTGGTCAGACTCTTTTGGGACAGAATCAAGGCCCAATAGGATAAATAGGAATAATTTAACCATTAAAATCTTTCTTAATCAGTTACAATGTAGGTTGGATTGCAGACCATTTTGTAGTAACGTTAACTAAGCCTAAGGATCTGAATTCCTCTTGGCAGAGAGTCAGTGTCCAATATGTGAAGAAGTATAAAAACCATTGAAATCCTACTCCTTCAGTATGGATATAGTAATTCTGACCAAACAAAACCAGGTGAGCAATTACAGGCCCTATTTAAGTATATATGTATGTGTATGTACCTGTGGTATGGATAATAATTGACTAGATGTGTATGCTGTTACATACAGTGCTCCAGATAACTTTTTGACATGTGGGGTTTTCACTCCTACCTTTATAAATTGAGGGGTTTTTTCACCCCTGCCTTCATCAAGTGTATGGGTTTTTCCATATTAGGGTAACACTGAATTTGTAAACATTTTTGACAGCGCCATATTTGCTATGCGACTGGTTTATAATCACGATCAAGAAAGCGCTTGTTACGAGTTTCGTTTACTTGATAAGTGTCTGTTTGACTTAGATTATTGAGTTTTCTAACTACGTAATATTGGAGCCGGACATTGACGCAGAGTCCGGATTTCGCACGGGTTAATGATGCAAATCTTATTTTTTTCCTAGCGTGAAATTAGAAATATTGTGCGTGAAAACGCATTCACGCAGGCTATCTGGAGCACTGTACATATTTTATTACTGCTCTGCCCTATTAAGTACTCTTATGGAATCAATATTATATATAATCAATTTTTTCAATATTATCCAATTTGGAATTCAGGTCACTGTGGTAGTCTGTGTTTGTCTCTAACTTCATTTATCCTTTTTTCTTTCAGCAAATTTGATAAACGCCACTTCACCTGTGAAAATTGTATAGAAGGACAGGCAGCATATGACTATCGGTCAAGGCAGGTAATAATAACAGTAATTAATACAGTTTCCTTGTACAGAGTGAAAATCAAATCTCTTTTTACCGTAATCAGAATGAACAGGCAACTTTAAACATATATACCTGAATATCTGTGTGCATCCTTCTATATATTCTTCCATCTCCTGTCTATGTGTGTCCAATGTTCCATCTACGCGTATCTACTTGTGTCCATCCTTCGGTCTATATGTGTCCATTCTTTTTGTCTCTCTCTGTGTGTCTAGATGTTATATGTGTTTATCCCTCCATCCTCCTACTAATGTGTTCATCCTTCTGTCTATCTACATGTGTTTCCATCCTGTTTATCTACATGTGTGTTCATCCTTCTGTCTATCTACATGTTTCCATCCTGTTTATCTATATGTGTGTTCATCCTTTTGTCTATCTACATAATATGGTCATCCTATTTAGCTACTCTCTATCTACATGTGTGTCCTCCTCTCTATCTACATGTTGCCTATCCTGTATGTTTACCTGTGTGTCCATCCTTCTGTCTATCTACATGTATGTTCATTCTGCTGTCTATTTACATGCATGTTCATCATTCTTTCTATCTACATGTGTGTTCATTCTTTTGTAAGTATCTCTACATGTGTTCATCCTTCTTTATACCTACATCTGTCTTTCTATCTCTGTGTGTTCATCCATCAGTCTGCCAAATTAATTTGTTCAAAGACATGGCTCTGTTTCACCTTTTGATATTATATAAAAGGCTTTTGGTAGCACTCTATAATTGGCCGCTGATCATTGACCAAAGCTGATGTGAGTTAAATGTTAAATACATATTCTAGAGGTTTGGAAGTCCATGGAAGGGGTGGGTTTACATAGGTATTACTGTTAGTACATCCTTTTGTAGTAACAATTAATGGTGTTAATTAGATGTTTCTATGTATACTACAGTCATATTTTTTCCCAAAAGATTTTTTATTATTCTCATGTCTTTTAAATTTTTTGACAGGTTGTCTTTTGCCAGAACAAAGTGAAGTCTAACGGCTACTGCCCTATATTAGGGCATGAACTGATTCATGCATTTGATGATTGTCGGGCTAAAATAGATTATAAAAATATTGACCATATAGCATGTTCTGAGGTAAGTCTACTCTATATTTCTATTCCCCAACTGACACTACCTTTGTACCTTTAATACATTTACCACAAATATTTGCTGTAGCATAGGTAGAAAAGGTTGTATTGTAGTAAGTGCATTTATAACACAGAATAACTTTCTGATTTACTTAAATATTATATTTAAGCATTGAATCTTGCTTTCTAGCCCACCATCATCAGGTATTTCTTTTGTACGTTCCCCTTGGTCCCTAATTGTGCCAGTTTGATTTTGGGCCTGATCAGTAAAGCAAAATGGCCGACATTTGGCCATCTTGGATTTCATCAAGTAAATTTTGTTATCATTATTTCTTGCAAACTACTGCAAAGATCTTTCTCAAATTTAATGTGTAGATTCCCCTTAATCTCTAGTTGTGGCCATTTGATTTTGGAACTGATCAGAAATATCAAATGGCTGGCATGCTGCCGTCTTGAATTTTGCCTTGTAAAATTTGTTCTCGCTATTTCTTGAGAAGTACTGAATGGATCTCTCTCAAATTTCAGATGTAGGTTTCCCTTGGTCCCTAGTGCTCATTTGATTTGAGACTGATCAGAAAAGAAATGGCTTCAGTTTTGGATTTGACTTTTGAAGCTTATCATACCCCCTGCAATGTAGTTTTGGGGGTATATTGGAAGAACCCTGTCTGTCTGGAATATTATGTAAAGTGTTTCAAATAAAGTACTATAGCAGTATTCCTCAAACTTGGCATACTTCATCCCTATAATATATAGTTGTGCCCTTTCACTGTTTAACTAAACATTCATTTAAATGCTACAGCTAATGAAAGCCAATGATTTGACATATTAGGTGTTCCAAAACCATTACCAACAGAACACTTTGGAGGGTTCTAGGTGATTGAAATTAAGTTGAAAATTGGTATAAAAACTGTTGTTGATTGGAGAGTAGGGAGTATCAGTGGCCATCCTGGCAACAGTTCCAGGTATCACTCTTTCTGTAAAGAACTAATGTTCAAATTTCTTATTAAGAGTGAAAACAGATGAGTTAAGAAGGTAAAAGATCCAATGTTCAAAGAACAAATCAAGATCACACAATGGTGGGCACCATCTTGTGCTGATTTCATTTGATTCATTAACTGAGAAGCAGTTCATGTTGGAGCAGGTGAATTCATCACCCTATGTAATTGGCAAAGCAAGATTCATTGCTTCTATTTCAGCTAAGATAGTTTTTTTTTAATATTTCGATCAAAGCCAAGTCTGTAGATATGAGAACCTGTGCAAGTCTAAAGTATTGCTTTAAAGATATACTCCGACTTTTCAAATTTAAGGATTATCAAGAAATATTACTCAGGCAGAACGCAGTCATGTGACAGATTAAAATAAATACAAAACTTTATGGTTGAAATTGTAATAATTGATTTTACCTATATGATTTTATTAAAAATAGAAAATTCTCTGACAGCTTTGTGAATTTTAACGTCTAGACTGAGTTCTACAGTTGTCACCTACTTTGCTTTAAACTGGGCGGCATTCATTAATAGCTTATGTTTCCATGGCTTCGAGAACTTAGTCAAAAAGAAGTTTTATTTCAAATTGGCTCAGTAGGTGCTCATGGTCTTGGAGATTTTCATTTTCAGACTGTGGAATGTTAAACAAATTTGTAGCAGAATATAACATTTGCATACATATCTCCAGTAGATATCAAAACATTGATAACAAATCTGTTCTGCCTAAAATCACCATAATGTCATATTTTGATTTATTTAATAATAACTATATTTACTATTTATCTTTGTCAATTTATATTCTGCAAATATGGAGCAAATTTGATTTTATTTCAAGTTTAGAATCACACATGTGTTGGGGATCTTACCCTTACAGAATCTGTAAAGATGGTATTTATACATCAAGATCAATATGGTCAAATTTATGGGCAAATGAAACAGGCTAAGTTTGGTTGTTTCGTTGAGTTCACTTTTAGTAGAGATTGAAATATTTAAAACTATAGTGTTACTGCACTTTATTATGTCACAGGTCTTTGAATGGAACATCTATAACATTGATATAATTTAAGTAAATTTATTTGAATACAATACAAAACGATGTGGTGTCAGTGAGTACGATAATACAAGTTACAAAACAACAAAATCCCTCTCTCTTGGCCAAATGTGTCTAAAGTCATTTAATCCATTCCCACCTGGAAATTCAGAACGCTCTTAATTGGACCTGGACAGTTTTCTTGAGTTTTGTGATATTTTCAAACTTTCACTCAACGTTCTCAACACTCTCATAAATAGTTGCACGTTTTTGGTGTCAGTGTTACATGCAACTGCTTTGATGTTATATTTGAGATATGTGGGAGTATAATTATAATTTACATACAGATAGTGTATTGGGGGGCATTTTATATGTTTTAATAGCATTTCTGGCATGCTTTATGATTCATATTTTTTGTGTCCATGTTACATGCAACATGTGTAACTACTTTATTACTGAAATGAGGAGGTTGCAAAAATATTGATAGAATTTTCTTTATACGACAGTAACACAATGAAAAAAGTCGTTTCTTGTTTACCAAGAACATAATTCTGATTATATTTATCTCTTAATAATTGCATGTAACATTGACAGAACAATAAGAGGAAACGGGTTTTTATAGAATTTCTGAAATGCATGATAAATTTGAAAAATGCAATTTTTTAAGTTGAGATGATGGACAATGTTTTGAGATAAACAAACCTAATGCTAAACTTTAAACAGGTCAAAGAATCATCAATCTCACTTTGGGAATAGTGTCAATGTTACATGTTCTAAATTCATTAATTCTCTTTGTTCTTAACTGAAGTAAGTTTCAAAATGATTGTTTTGTAACACATAGAAAGACACCATTTACAGTTATACTTCAAACAAAATTTGTAGGCTTATGAATATTTTTTATTTTTTTCTTGCATTGTCACACTTAGGGTTACATTAGCTAATTCTTGCCCATATACACATAGCCAATAATTGCTCCTTGGCAGATTGTTGTCATGGCTACTGTAATCTCTGATTGTTGAAGAGATGTTTTAGGCAGCAAAACTTCTAATATTTAATTGCAGTCATATATAAAATATTCATCTGCATTAGGTTTTAGAAATATTACATTGAAATGTTAAAAGAATGTGTTTCATATTTCCAGATTCGTGCTGCAAACCTTACACAATGTGATTTCTTCCATGGTTTGATGTGTGGTGTTGTGACTCCAGGCCTGGATAATAGTCAAAAGGTATTCTACTTCATTTTCACCTCACTTGTTTTCAAATTAGATGTACCATATTTTTTTGGCAATAGACCCAGCTATTTAGTAAAGTTATAAATCAGTACTATTTCATTGTCCTGAAATAACAAAAATTGATCCCTTAGTTTATAGCATGATAACTTGACTATTCAGCAATAGAATTATGTCTGCTGACAAATCCGACCATGTCTAATACGTTTCAGTCAAAATGTGATCAAATACAGTACATTGTTCTACATTAGCCAATTCTTACTTTGGTCAAGTCATCTATGTCAGCCCCTCGGGCATATTACAAGATTATTATGTATCGTTAACGTTGATACCTTTATGTTTAATGGTTTCTACATTTCACCTTTCTCCAAGATTTAATTAAATGAAGGAAAAATCGAAACGATCAAAACCAAAATAACATAGAAAACCATAGCTTAATTGCTTAAACACTACAATGAATTTTTTTTTCAAGCAATTAACAAAAATGCAAATTTTGAACTATTGAGGGAAAATACAAAAACAAAACAAAAAACTACCAAGTTTTATAATATTTGTATTTTGACAGGACTGTGTACGGGGTCATGCCATGTTCTCCCTAATGATGAGTCGTAATCTATCCCAGGAGAAAGCTTTGGAAGCTATTGACAGGGTATGGGACCGTTGTTACAATGATTTAGAGCCAATTGGTCGACGATGTAGACACAATGTTAACGACAGAATTTTAGCCTCTGAAGAAGGTGCACAAGTAGAAATTTAACAAAAATTCTATATATAGATTTTATATGTTTTAATAAATTTTTGTCTGTGATTAAGAATATTTGTGTTATTTTCTTGGTTGAATTGTTATCATTATTATTATTATTACAATCTTAAGCCCATCAACACTTAACAACAGCATTTTCTGTTTTGCTGAAATAATCTAGTACATTGCCCTACTTTCAAAGTCACTGGTGACATTTTTCTAAGAATCAGATGCCAGAAGCTGAGAACTCAATACAAACACATTGTGATATTTGGCAAGTAGTTTACTACATTTAACAATTTCCTATTTTATTGAAATGAATGCTGTGTTTCCACTTTTAAGGTCACAAATGTTGAATGTGTAAAAATCATGGAACTAATAAAAAAATGTATCCTGTTATGATATTAGGACAATAGCATGTTGGTAAAAGGAGTTTGCAAGTTTATTAAAATAAATTGCATTACATTGTCACTACTTTCAAAGTGTGGTGACAGCCTGTAGCAGACTTTGGTAAAGTGCATTCACTTTTGTTCAAATGAATGACCAGGACACACTTTCAAGGTCTCGGGAGCCAACCAATTTGTAAGGAAGTGTAAAGTGAGTTTGAATACTGGGAACTGTGCATCTAATGAAGTGAATTGAACATGGAAATCTTGGGGACTGAAAGCCCACTTGCAATATTGATGACTTTGTACATTAGACAAAAGTTGAAAAACACTTTCACAATAAAGAAGTAGGAGGTAAGTTGCTTAAAAGGTAATGAATGTCAATTCCAAATACTGTGTTTCAACCATTTAAACACTAACACATGTATGTCATTGTTTTATAACAGTGGAATACATGTATGTCATTGTTTTATAACAGGAATACATGTATGTCATTATCTATAACAGTGGAATACATGTATGTCATTATCTATAACAGAGGAATACAGGTATGTCATTGTTATATAACAGAGGAATACAGGTATGTCATTGTTATATAACAGAGGAATACAGGTATGTCATTGTTATATAACAGAGGAATACAGGTATGTCATTGTTATATAACAGAGGAATACAGGTATGGCATTGTTATATAACAGAGGAATACAGGTATGGCATTGTTATATAAAAGTGCATATGGCATTGTTTTATAACAAATGATGGCATTGTTTTATAACCAGGACACACAAATAAAATTTACCATAATACCAACTTGGAGAAGCAGACAACCCATTCAGCCAAACTTTGAAATCACGTATAGTAGATTATACTATTATGACAACTCATCCAAACCAGATAAATGACAACGACTTTAGCCTGGCAATTTCCTCGACGTACTTTCCAGTGTTATTCATTGCTGAATTAACCGCTGCAGAGAATCTCAGTTCCGTTAAGAATAAGTAGTTTATAACTATCATCAAAACTGAAACAGCGTTGTTTGAGGTTTGACCAGTAAATATCGCCAAAGATGCCTTAAAATAGAAATAGGGAAAACATAAAAGGACATCCCAGTTAAACTGTCGTAATGTTGAAAGTTAAACATAGGATAGAAAGTTTTGCCGAGGGGACAAATTCGAAAGCCTTCCTCACATGGGCATACGCTTCATTAGCAGCCATTAGTGAGATATTGATTGGCTTAACTATTTGTAAGAAAAAAACTAAGGTGGATTCTGACATTCAAACTATAATGTCTAAGACTCATAGACTCAAACCTCGAACAGTGAATGAAAAAAAAAAGAAGAAAAGAGTGATGTATTGTCAAGACTTTTTTCATTCACTCACTGAGACAACAATTATAAAACCTGAAAAAGATTTAATAAGCAAACACAAGAGCTATTTATTAAAAGCATGTACTATTCTGTAATGCATAAATGTTATTTGGATAGCGTTAATAGTTGTAATGAACGAAGTCAAGTATGAATCGACAAAAGAAGAAAAGCAATCTTAATTTCATGTAAATAAATTTAACACTTTTACAAGGACAAATGCATTTGATCCCATCACAATATCTGAAACTTTAGAAAAGACATAACTAGCTTGTTCCTTGTATGAGATTTCGAATAAAGGAAAGAATTTTGAGTACACACGAAATAAAGAAGACTTCTCTACAGACAAACCAACGAGAAAAGGTCGTAGTAACACTTTCTCGTGGTCACAATTGCAAAATATAAAGTATGATATTTCAGCAATAGGCCCAGCAACACAAGTGCTTATACTAATGAGAGACATCAGCACTCCCATCCTAGTAGAATAGTCCTGCAGTTGTACCAGAGCCATGGTTGCCACTGTCGAAATGGTGGTATAACCACCTAGCCATTCTATGACAGACCAAAATGACACTACTAACGCGGATAAAGAAAATTAACTATATACACAATCTGGGTAAGAATCTGCAAAAATACACTTGCACGTTATAAACAAAAATACAATAACAGTGCTGTTTAAGAAACATATCTTTTGGTTATCAAACAATAGATCAGAAATATAAAAGACGAGTTTGTTGTTGAAAATGAAGAGCATATAGCTAATACATATAAACTCTACATGTACCGATTTCATAAAAACCGGCCTCTTTTGATGCCGGTTCAGACACTAAATATACTGATGCATAGGCAGTGCGTTTTGAGATTCCAAATGACAGTGAGTTTCATACGGTGACACAACAAATAAAATTTGCCATAATACCATCATGGAGTAACATACAACCGATCCAACCGAACTCTGAAATCAGGTATTGTAGAATGTACCAAACTATTACAGCACCTCATCCAAACGAGACGAATTCTAATGCCGGTAGCCTGGCATTTCCTTCCACTTTCCAGTGTTATTGAGTGCTGGATTAAACGCTGCAGAGAATCCCAGTTCTGTTAAGAATACCGCCCAAGTCTCTTTAAACTGGAAACAGAGAAAACATCAAAGAACGAACTGCACAGGATAGCAAGTCAGCTATAAGACATTTTAGTTTAAAAATCCTGAAAACAACTTCAATACTAGAGCGTTACAGACACACATATGATAGTGTTGCTCAAAGTAACTGGGGCCGTTCACACAAAAAGGGTGCTTTGTCATAACAACCTGCGTCGCCCAGCTTATTTGTTTGAGTATTGATTTTCGCGCAAGCTTCTATATATGAGCCACTTATGAGAGATTTTTTAAACCCATCTAAATAGATGTTGTGCCAAACTGAGTAATTTAAGGTGGTGCCATCTATCCAGTTCCATTTACCATCCTTGTCAGGGTCAGATAACCCTATCCAATACCACGAAGTACCTGTAATGATAAAACCTTTATCAGAGCTATGACGTTGAGTTTCAACTGCACAAACTGCAGATAATTGTGTCACTGCATGCCTAAAAACAATTTTACAAAAGGCACACACGTAATTATAATCTTTCAATACAAAATAATAATTGAATGCTGTATATTAAAACACCGACAATGCATTATGTAAATGTTACTAAATGGATTTTTAAATATGATATTTTTCCGTACATCTACTACTGATAAAAATCGACATTGACCCAAATACATATGACCAAATCCAGATGAGATTTGGGGTTCCAATCACTTCAAATTTCAGTATTTCAGTATCATGTAAATAAATCGAAGTGTCTTGCATGTTAAGGCAAATTTCTGTGACCACCATTATTGTTTGTCTTGTAAATTGCCATCAATGTGTCAATAAAGAAACAGTTGATGCATATCTATTGCTGTCACACCGTACCATTACATTCCAAACTATTGATATGCTATATCTGATTATCATATTTTACGAAAGTTCTAGGGATAATTTCCAATCTTCATTCTTTGCTGGTTTTCTTCTCTGGCTTCTTAGTAAAATCAAAGTGTCGAGGACACCCAAAGACGTTGTGTATGATGTGCATTGGAATAAAGGAATAGATATATCAGTATGGAATGATATGTAATCTTAATCGATTGGTCACTATGATTGTAGATGTATTATAGAAAGGTTCAGGACACATAGCTATAATGAGATCTTCATGTGATCACTATGGTGGATGAGTGTGATTGGGGTGATCATGTAGAGTCAAATGTGACACTGAAACTTGACCTTCTGCAATGTAGTGAATAGTTATAGGTTAGTGGAACTTTGAATACTTAATTGTTTTCATGAAGATGGGCTGAGATTTCAACATCGACGATCAGTTAATGTAACTGGCTCATAACCAATTACATGCTTGTTTATCCAATTAATTGTTCATAGTTTGTTTTAGCACTGCAAATTATTAGGTCTCAAAGACAATGTTTTAAACTTACTTCAGATGTCCAGTGGTTCGCATTATGTATTGTAAAGTAATTGTGTAGTGCGTTCGATAACGTTTTGTAAAAGTAGTTTTATGTGCTCGTATTGTATACCCGTGTTTCTGTCTTTTTAGGGATTTCTTTGTGCGGACAATAAATTTGATCCCAATACCATTGAACCAGTCGTCGTTATTCAAAAAGAACCCTAATCTCACACTGATACTAGAAGTTGAGGGCAGACATGGTTACCTTTCTAGTCATAGCTAGTTAGGATTTCTCTTAGGTCTAATGGTAGAGTATCTGACTAGAGACCATTGCGTCACTACAGCCTCACTAGAGTCATTAGTATTGGTTGAGGTGTAAACCAGATAGAAACACAAAATATAGGCCTATTTCAAGCCCGAGCGAATAGGAGCTGTGTTTTGCATGTCTCCTTTCAACTACATCGGTTTGTATTAATTATTGTATTGAAGATCTTTAAATGTACTTGAAATAAAACTTACTTAAGTCAATGTTCATGACAGTTTGAGTGAATCTATAGTTCTTCAATACGAGAAGTCTGCCTTCCTCGTCTTCATATTTGGTTCGAGCATCATGCCATGTCAATTTTGTGTAAAATTCCTTGAAGCAAACACCTTCCTCCCCTGTGATATGTGTATATCCAGACCGTTCGCAATCTGTGTAAATAATTTTCAAACGCGCAATTAAAATCAGTTTGTTTGATATGTTCAAATTAAGTCTTCTTCCGTCAATTTGTCAGAGTACTTAAAAAAGGTGCTACATGTAGAATGTAAACCATTTCATCGAATCACTTTTGCGCTCCACC